TTATTTATAAGGACCTATGATTGTTTACTTTTTTGCCTTATAGTAGGGGCATATTTTCATGTTTTTACAGCCCTTAAAGCACTAGGCCTTGTTGGGGATGATAAAATGCACATAATTAAGCCTCCTTAGAATCAGCAAGCCTTCACAAAAAGACCTCCTCGGTGTAAATTGGCACAGGTTTGCAAGTTTCTGCCCATTATTGTAATCAGCTTATTTATCCAGAGTTCTTTGTGTTCCTCTGAGAGGCACACTCTTGTTTTGCCAGCAGTACTCAAATCCCCATCATTCCTGAAATGCTTGGCTTCAATGGGACTGGATGCTGTTTTAGTTGCATTGCTTTCTTCTCCCCTTAATCTTCAACGGCTGTTTGTCTAAGGTTTGAGATTAGCTGCCTCTTTAAGTTAAAGGAAGACTTTTGTAACATCTAGTGGAGTTGTCAGTGTCCAGAAAAATCATTGCTGTTATAATCTCATGGATATGTGTTCCGTCCTTCACATACAGTACATGTTTTAGGTAGTTAATGATTCTTTTTATCATGAAAAAGCCATGCAGATTTTACAGCTCTAATGCAGGAGGTTCAGTTGAATAGCAGCACCCATACATCTGTGTAAAAGCCGAAACAAATTTTCTCATTATAAATGTGACTTCAAATAAAAAAAAATTCACTTTGTTGTCAAGGGTTATCCGGATGACTGCATTTTTGTGTTGCTGCTCTTCAATACTAAGCAATAGCTCTAAGAATACTGCCTTGTTAAAGTGTAGAACATTAAAGTTAAAAAAAACACTATTGAGGGTTTCTTTCAAAGGGGACCAATACAAAATTCATTTGATGAGCTTCTTTCTAAGTCTTACCTCTGAGACATGTTCACTTGTCAAACCCTTTCAGTCCTTTGTTAACCTTATGAAAAAAATATTTGTGCAGCAATATACAGTATAGGCAGTGTTTTTACAGTAAGTGAAGTACACTGAGAAGAAAGTCCCATCATATTTAGTCTCTTTTCATCCTCTGCCTGCAAGATTCTCAAACTAATCTTCTACAGTATGTCCTGCAGACAGTTGTGTGCTTCCCCTTGGGGAGTCCTACCACAGCCAGCTAATGACACAGCCTGTACTCAGAACAGCAGTGTCTGGGCTATAGTACTAAGTCTGTGCTCTGTGCTACTGCCTTCACTGGTTGAGTCACTTGAGAGACCCTTGGTGTTCTTAAACCAAGACCTCCCAAGAGACACAAATTTGTTAAAGTTAAAAGGCTAATTAAAAAGATAATAGAATAGTTTTCATGTGGGGGGAGATGTCACATCAGAGTCTGTAATGGTCTTTAATAGTATTTTTTGTAAAATGAGAATTTTAAGTAAGGCTTTGTCTGACTGGTTTTTAACGATTTTTTATTATGTCATCTTCCTTCCCCGCAGTCATGTGGATCTCAAAAAAGTTAAACTATTTCAGTTTTATTTCATGAGGAATATTTTGTATTGGATCAAGCTGTGTTCTTGAGTGCTTCACCTTTTTCAGAAGCAGGGAAAAGTGTTTTGTGTCACAGCCTGAAATTAACAAGATTCCAACTGCACCACTCACAGTGCAGTTGATGTGTCCCAGCTGTGGTTCACAGGAGGCGGGGGGCAACTTTTTTGGCATCTGGCATTCACCTAGAGTAGCATGATTTTGACAGGGTTTTACAACAAAGATTTTTACAAACCATTGACTCGATTCTTGAAACATTAGGAGAGAGGTTTTCTGGATGCTTAAGTACTGTAATTACTGTACATTGTAGTTTGTTCACGTGACAAAGAAGAGGAAACTGAGATGGTATTAAATGCAATGAGAACAAATGTACAACTTGACAAGAAAAATGTGCAAATGGAAGAATAATTTGATCTTATTTTTTATAAAACATATGAAATCCCCTTTGCGCAAACATTTACCTCAGATTGTTGAAGTGCCGTTGTTTCATTAGTTTCAAGAACATTGGAATGTACTGACATGTATAAAAATGTTGTAGTGAACATATATATTTTCCTAAAATATTTCAGTGCTTCTTTTTTCAGTAGCAGGGAAAAGTATTTTCTCTTCAAAATCAGAACAGCTGAACCAAATGTGAACAGCTAGCATATCCATCCATTGTTTCAAACCAAACTACCCAAACCAAGAAACCAGTTTTAACATAGTCCTGTAGATTGTTTACAGTGTTATAAAATAATACAGTATTAATCCATGTAAGCAAATAATTCTACGATTGCACAGCAGTTCGTTCCGTTTCCAGTTTAACAACCTGCAAGGTTCTTATACAAGTGCAATAGTAGATTTAATACATGTTCATTTGACTAAACATGTCTGTGTACTGTACATTTCCCAAATAAATAACTGAGATATGTAGCATATGAAATTTCCATTAGTGTGAAATAACCTGAAACTGGTGCTGGATTAAATAAAGAAGTCTAAGTTTAGAAGTGATTTATATTCAGAACAAGTGATCTCATTATATTTCTAATAAATATATACAGTATACAGTGATAAAGGTCCAAATTTTACTCCTTAAAACCATTGTTCCTTCACAGAAATAAAATGCAGATCAAAACTTGTAAGTGTTGACCTCCAGGTCCTGAAAGACAACAGTCGGTAACCCTGTCCCACAAGATGTCACTTTTGCTAAATCCCTCAGGTAATGAGAAAGAAAACAAATTCACAGCATCTGTCATGCAAAGAAAAAGAAAGGTGACATGTCTGACTGCTTAACTGATTTTATCGCTGATCTGAGATGATTTGTGTGAAAGGTGAAGCAGGAGAATCATATTGCAGGCATGATACTATTGCTTAATAACATAGTGTGTTTGTGTTTATTAATGTTTTAAATAAGCCAGTTTAAACCATTAGGCTTAAAATCCATAACACATGAAATCCGTAACACGATTTTGAAAACAACAGAGAAAACAACAGAGAAATATGAAAATAATTTTGTGTTAAAGATAAACCTCTCTGGGTAGGTTTCTGCAGAAAGGAATGCTGCCACATACTGTAGTATGTATTTTTTCCCTTTCTTGCAAAACTAAAAAGCTAACATGCTTAGTAAGAGAATTTAGTCTATAAACTTTCTGGGACAAAATAGAAGCATTAGTCATGGGTATCAGAAACTTAACCCCGTGTGAAAATGGGCATGAATGATGTCTTGAGTAAGTAAAGTACACATAGCAGTTGCTAAACAAAAATGGAGAAACAGAATTGCAAAGAAGGAATTCATACAGTAAGTTTTTTTGAATTAACTTGCATTACCTCTGTTATGTACTGAATGCAAAGTAAATGTTTGAAAGGGTTGCTAAAGTGAATATTTCAGATCCTAGCATGAATGGGATTTTCTGTCAGCTTTTTTTTTACCTGCCGTTGCAATTCTTACAACTAGTTTTGAATCCTTGTGTTCAGTATGTTTTCTCAGTGGGTTTCTGCTGTAGTTTGTGCTTAGTTTTCACTCACTTTGCTGAATCTCAGTTACAGATGATTAATGTGATGCTTCAAGCCTGACTGTGAGGGAGGAAGGGTGAAGGAGTTTATGAATGTTTATGGGGGTCAGTGACAATGAATTTCCAAAAGAAATGCATAAGAATTCTAATCTGCTTCCCTGGCATATATTTTTAGTGAACTCTAAATGGTTTCTACTTATTTTTTTAAAGCATATAGTTTACAAAATACATGATGAATCCCGCATAATAAAGTTAACATGTTAGTGTCTATATCTTTAAATTAAAAGGCAGCGCTTTTCAGCTTTAGTTGTTCACATTTCCCAACAGTATACTGTAAGCTTGTGTGAGAACAGAGGAAGACGTTTTGGTTGTACACATGAAATCCATATTTAAACCAATTAAAAATCTAAAATTTCTTCAGAAAAATGCCAGTTTTTACTTTAACGAGCACAGTTTATCTTTAGAGCTTCATGTTGCCTCTCTATAGACTTTTGCTTCTGGTGAAACTGAACCTCAGTAAATCTCTGGCAGAATTATTCAAAGGGAAGTTAAAACACTTCTGTAGCACTGACATACAGTATACTGTATGATATTTCATGAATTTCACTTTTTTTGCTGTGTGTGAAGAGTTGCTGGTCAGCAGCCATATCACCCTGCAACTCACAACTGGCAACCCACTGAAGCTAAGCAGGTGTGAGCCTGGTCAGTACCTGGATGGGAGACCTCCTGGGAAAAACTAAGGTTGCTTCTAGAAGAGGTGTTAGTGGGGCCAGCAGGGGGTGCTCGGATGTGGGTCCTAATGCCCCAATATAGTGACGGGGACACTATACTGTAAACAGGTGCCGTCCTTCGGATGAGATGTAAAACCAAGGTCCTGACTCTCTGTGGTCATTAAAAATCCCAGGGCGCTTCTCGAAAAGAGTAGGGGTGTAACCCCGGTTTTTACCAGTCATGGCCTCCTAATAATCCCCATCTATAAATTGGCTTCATTACTCTGCTCTCCTCCCCACTGAGAGCTGATGTGTGGTGAGCGTTCTGGCGCACTATGGCTGCCATCGCATCATCCAGGTAGATGCTGCACATTGGTGTTGGTGGAGGGGAGTCCCCATTACCTGTAAAGCGCTTTGAGTGGAGTGTCCAGAAAAGCGCTATATAAGTGTAAGCAATTATTATTAATTATTATTACTGAGTCCTGATTAATTGATGTCAGATGCAGAACACAGTTGCAGATGTGTAAAATGAAAGGATTAATTGATTAGATGTTGCTTCAATTGAATCACAGGTCTGAGAAACAATTGTTGTGACACTTTTTAGAATTGCATTTTGGTTTACCTGTATATGAGGAAATACCAGGATTTAAAAAAGCATATGTAAAAAGTGTCCTTACCCTTAATTATAGAACTGAATCCTGATGCCTATGAGCTAAATCTTAATTTTTAGTGAAGTTCTTCCAAGTGGTGTGGGAGTGCTGGAAGTACATTCCCTCAGTGGTTTGGCACAGTACCACAGAGTGTTGGATAAACTTTTTGTGCTTGGCGTTTTTTACAGAGAGGATTCTTCAGCCTGCCAGAGGGGAGCTATTTCATAGAGCCTGTGCGTGAACATGAGCCGGAGGAAGGGGAGCAGCAGCCCCACGTGATATACCAGAGCTCCTTCCCACAGCAGCCCCAGAGGCAGCGGCGAAGCGCTGAGCTCCATCATGGGAGAATGCCCTGTGGCCTGAAAGGTTTGCCAAAGCTTCTTCCTGCTCTTATTACTCAGCTGTGTTGCCCTGTGAAGTTGTACAGTATGTTTGTGGCTAAAACACTAATGCATTAGGGAGATTGTCCCCATAAGGTATTAGTCACCACGTCACTAGTGCATTATTCCTGTACAGTCATGGCTCTGCAGCAAAAGTAAAAGCAATTATTTGTATTCCATAACTAACTCTTACTTGTTGGTCTGTGAAGTAATGGACCGGCAAGCTGGGCAGTTCCATTATCCTGTGTGTCCTGTTCAGGCTACACAGTGCAACGTCTTCTACTAATCAGTCTTCTACTAATCAGTGGGTTGGCCAACACGTCTGTAGAGAAATGTCTCTCAGGTACTTCATGCTGTGTTTTATAATAAGTGCTGAACAGTTGACTTTTTGGACTTTCCATCATGTACAGAAACCCTTAGTAATGTTCTGCAGGCAATACTGTAAAACATATTTCATTTTCTCATCATGATGAAGGCAAATAAAGTTTAAATAAAATTAATATTGTTTATGAATACCATTATAATTTATATACTGCACTCTACCTTTACATATTATCTGCCCAACTGTTTAATTTATAGCTTTATGAAGATATTCAAAATACAAAAATACAAAATACTATTTTTCAAGTTGGTTTCATACATCCTGTCAAACTGTCAAATATTTGTACTAAAAACAATAAAGCAATATTGTGATCTGTCTAGGTTTTGCTGACTTACAGCAGTAGCTGGCCAATCTGTGACTTTCCAGTCCAGTGCCCTAGTATGGTGACTGGAGACACTGTGATGTAGGAGGTGACATCCTTAGGATGAGATGTTAAACCAAGGTCCTAAAGTTTAATGTTCCCAGTGTAATATATGACTAAAATATACTAATTATTTTATCTGTTGTTGTTGGAAGATGCAAGCACTTCCAGTTTTGTAGATGTTTCAACTATTAGTTTTAAAAGTGGATTGAAATTGTTTTGGAAAAAATGTACAATTTTCCAAGTTTGACCAGCTGATTCCCAGAAACTATCCATATTTGATGTGAATCTCTTTTCTTCTGTGTTAATATGTGCCAATTTTCCCTTAAATGAGTTACATTTTTATGAGATTCCCATTGCTTTAATGCAGAATGGCACTTTAACAGCATTTACAACTAGAGTTATCAGAGAGATAGTAATCTGAGAGAGTTTGATATCAATGCTCATGACTGCAGTATGCATATTTAAAGGTTGGAGCTGGTGTTGCAAAAAGGAAAGCACATAGGACATTGTGAAGTTTTGCCAGTTTCTGAAAGCTTGAAGTAATAGAACTGACAGCAGTGCAAATTTGTGATCCACCTAGATGATGTTGTGAGCTCCTACCCTTGTTAGTAAGGATCATTATACCAAAGAAACAGGCAGTCTCTAATGCTCATGGGTATAAGAGTGAGGCATGAATGATAATGTCAGCATATGTTAAATTCTTTGATGCCAGGATTTAGGATGTTGCAGCTTTGATTCCACAAAGTTACCTCTATTCTTAGTTTAAAAGTTATTTATAAATACAGTATTAATAAAAAATCTGGTAAGTGAAGCTCTCTGTGTGGATCCATCAAGCTCAAATCTGAATTTATTTTCTTTATTCATGATATAATAGCAAAGCTGCTGAACAGTGTTTGCTCTAGCATAATGAAAATCAAAGTAAAAAAAGAATATTGGTGTACTCCATTTATGTATAGTCTACCTAAAGTCTTTACTAATTTATCAAAAATAAATGACAGAGATCTGAGCTTCCTCTGTCAATATGAATTTAGCAGTTGTAAATACAGTGCATAAAGGAAGACAACTGGACTCCAAGGTATGATTCTTGGTAAGGTTGCATAGAGAGAAACTGCGTGCATCAAATTAAGATGCATCTCAGGTAAGAAGCTATTGTATGTATTGTATTATTGTATTTTTATGTTGTCCTGAGGCTAGCATGTTATTTCTCTTTCTCTAAGTGGGTTACTGTGTTTTAGAGCCAATTTTACTGCTGTACTATATCCCTCTGCATTTGTGTAAAGTTTTAGTTCGTTAGTTTGCTTCTAGCTCAGTACCAGATTAATGCCTTTCAGCCTATTTCAGGAATGAAAGCTTTCACAGAGTATTTTATCAAAAAGTGATGAGACCCTTTCATTTGCATAATCTCAAAGTGTGGCCCTGTGTAAAAATGCATCACTTTCCAAGTGATTTTTAAAGTTTCAGTCTTGCACATGACGCACTAATCTATATGTCTCAAAATAGATGTGGCAAATGTAAATGAAAGTAACACAAGTCATCCCGAGACCGAGATCAAATTCAGAACTTCAACTCACAGGCCAGTGGCAATTTAAAATAACCCATCAGTTCATGGCAGTGCACCACCGGGTAGAAAAAAAGAAGCTTTTGTGGAAAGAAAAACTACTATCACTTACTGAGATTGTAATTGAGAGTTCAACAGTGACAAGACGAACCCCTGAGCCTCAGCCAAAATAACAGCAATGAGTAACAAGCACATATTTCTCAGCATGCATCACTCTAAGTCTCCCCCTCTGCTCCCATGCTGCAGATTCTTAGCTGTTTGCACCTTATATGGGTGGAATTCTCATCCCCGTAGCCAGGCTGTTGTTCCAGGAAGAAAGGGGATCAATCTGTACCCATCTGCTTATTTACAATCCTAAACACAGTACTGAGGTACACAGTGCATGGTACTAAGGTATTTTTGTTTAATGGTGCTGAATTTATGATTTGTGGTTGTACAAAAATGAGAAGCAGAGGTTACCAGTAGTGTAATTTGTGAAACGTGGGTGAGTCAATCTTATCCCAAGCCATTATATGTAGAAAACACTCCAAACACGTGTGTTCCAGGCTTGAAAAGGATAAATGTATGTGAAATACAGCTTTAGTTTTTTGTTGTTCAAGATTATAAAATGTATCCTAATAGCAAAATGACTCTGTTGCTATTTAATCTTAATAAAGGTCAATTGCCTTTCTCATAGAAACAAAGTTAAATTATAATTATAATATAATTATATTTCCTGTGAGTTCTTTAATTGTTTTTTTTTTCTTCTATTGCAAAAGGTTTTGTCCAGTGGAAATGTTGATAGCCTTATACATATCATTAGGAGTCCACTGCTCAGAGGTGTCAGTAGGTAAATGTGTGTGGGTTGTTTTCTGGATTGACCTCAGCAGTCAGTCAGTGGAAGCCCACGGAAGACCTCTGGGATTGCACACTGACATCTAATTAGTTAAACGCATCATCATAGTTCTTAATTGTGCATATGTATACAGTACATTTTTCAAAATAGCCATGCAATATTTTGTTTCCACAATGTTGCAAGGTAAGCACTTCTAGGGATCTTTTCATTTGGATTGAATAAACTCAAATAAAATTTTTGTATTAACCCCAGAAGACACACCCTCAGAACTATAGAATTATGTGGCATCCTGAGTAATTATTTGAGCTGTATTGGCATATGATACTGTATGTATTAGAAGTGCTTGACTGAAAAAGCACTTGACAATTAGATTTAATTCTACACTTCACACTGCCTCAGGACGTGATGAGGTAGAATGCCGATACTGGTGCCAAAATACTTAAATCATTCTGTGATTTGTTGTGTCTTGCATTTATGCAAAGAAAAAGAAGAAACTTGAATGATTTCTTCAAGAAAATGGTGCATGTAGTCAGAAAATCTAGAGGGATTCCTACATGCATCCTGCAGGATTCAATTAGAGCTACTTTATTCTTCTTTTTAGAGGTGTGCTTTGAGATTTATCCCATTGAATTTCTGAAAACCTGTAGGAAAATCCTGTGGGTTCTTTCTTGTGTGTAAGAAATTCTGCAGTTCTATTCCTTGAATCTGCTTCTTTTAGGAGATGTTAAAAGAAACCTGAAGACAGCTCTGGAAGCTGTTTTGTTCTCTTATGCCTTTAAAATGCATGCTTTTGTAGTGCTTAGATTTAATCTATCCCTTTGTTACCCCTGAAAACAAAACATATAGAGGCTTCCTTTGTAGCAAGAAACTGTTGTAGGGGTCCCCAGGTGAATAAACTAGTAAAGACTTCAATTCTATTTCAGCCCTACAATATAAGTATCATTAGTCATATCATGGGCTGTCTTATTAGTCCAGTGTAGTCATGAGTCCCATATGGAATGGAATTGGATGGTCTTGAGTTGGCCATCTCAGTGACCAGAAGTGAGTAGTCTCAACTGTGCTAATCATATTTGATACCAACTGCCCTACAGGGGTCGTGGTACTTGCAGTCCCAAGAGTGGTGTATGACTGGACAGTGCCACTGAGACATACTGTACCTCCAGCAGTCCGTAAGAGGCTCTGTTTAACAGCTAGCTAAAGACACCTTAGCCACTGCACTGCCACTGGCTCTTTTATTTATCATTCAATTGCATTTTTACAATAGAAAAGGTGATAAAGATAAAATAAAAAAAAACTCAGGTTAACTCAAGGTTCCAGAACTTAGTTACTAAGTTACTGTATATACTGTAGGCTGTACATTTTCTTTTAAAATGGGGTTTAACAATTCTGTTTTATTTTAGATGCATCCAAATTGGTATCAGCAATTTTGTACTTACACCCTGGGTCACATGGGAAAATAAAGACGTGCCGATAGGCTCCTGTGACCTACCCACCCAAGGTGTTGTTGACCTCTTGGCACACAACAAAGTCCACGGAAATGTAAAGGAGGTTCAGTGCCAGTTAGAGAAGTGTTGTATGTCTCTCTAGTAGCACAAAGAACACAGTGCATAAGAAATCTTGAAATCTCAAAACAGACTTCCATTTTGTATGGCAAAAAAGAATAGGAAGGTGTCAGTGTATTTACAATTGAAAGAAAAGTCACTGGTCATAGCAACAAATGAAGTTCTGTAGTATAATGATATACAGGTATCTGCTTTCTGTAAAATGTGTTTACAGTATATACTGTATATACATGTATATTTTATATTGAAGAATAAAAAAATAACATTGGACAATTAAACAGATAA